GACCAAACAAGCATTCCTTGTTTGATGTTTGGAGGTTGAGTTGCATATGTGCTAATTAGTAGGGATTTGGTAATATATATATATACACACAGTACTCCCACTTTTTTTTTTTATACAAGAAAAAGAGTCTCGTTAAAACCCCTTCATAATCGTCATGCTACATGAATAAACAGACATTAGAAGGAGGAAAAAGTGCAACATATTTTATTAATTACACTAAGGTTAAAACCCCAAATGAATACAACCAATACCCACAAAACTAAACTTATCCCTTAATTTAAACATACCAACTTCCCAACATACAAAAATTCAACCTAAATTACCCTATGCTAGCCTTTGCTAAACTATCAGCTTCCCAATTGAACATCTCTGGATATGCTTAATAATCACATTACGATCCAACACAATCAACAATTTCCTTAACCAGAAAACCAAAAGAAGCCGAACTCGCTCCCGGATTCTTAATCATAGTACTCCCACTCTTCATTTTTGTTGGAGTTTCCATTGGCAGTAACCAGGCATTTTCATATATCATGTCGAGATTTGACTTTCTAAGGACGTTCAACATGTATGAAAGAACTCAGGAAATTGAATACCCATGATACATGTCAATATCCTGCGCACACACAAGACCGAATAATGTGCGTGTGTGTATATATGTGTGTGAGAGAGAGAGAGCATTAGTGTTTTCTGTTGAAGTGGATGTAAACCTTTTATATGGTTTGCAAAGAAAAAAATTGATCTTTGAATAAATAAGGCCATGGAATGAATCTTTGTTAGCTGATAACTGGAGATCGTTCTTTTCCTTTTCCAGGGGTGAAAAGATTATGGATGCTATCTTGGTTTTGAGCAACAACACTCCATTGAAGATCTTACTGCACCATCTTGAGCAACCAACTCTACCAGTAGTGTTGGATCAGTCCAGGTAACCTGAGAAACTGCGCCGAGCTCTCTTTCTCGAGCCATGCTATAGAATAGAAGTCGAGTAATCCTCATTGATATATTGTGTTTTTGTCTCAAAAAGGGAACATTTTAAAATATATATTCAAGACAAACTCAAGAAGATAAGGTTTTCTCATATGATACACAAATAATGGTAATTTTGACACCCCATTGATTTAATTGTTCAGCCTTTACGTGTAATAATTGGCTTGCCTAGCATGTCATTGCATGTAAACTAGTGTTTTTTAAATGAAAATTTTAGAATTATTTTTCAGATACATAATATTTTTTAATTTTATTGTCAGTATATCAATAATAATCATAATTATTATATTTTCTATTTCCTAAATAAACATGAGAATTGCATTTATAATTTTTTTGTTAATAGGAAAAATAAATAATCATAGAAATGCATTTTTTTAAATTATGTTAATGTATTAAATAATAATATTGTAACCAATTCATGCTCTTATTTTCTAGACAAGTATAAAAAAATTGCATTTATGATTTATAGTGTTAATATAATTTTATTGTGAGTGCAAAATAATAATGAGAATTATTTTTTTCATTTTTAAAGCTTTATCTTTGTTTTATTTTAAAGGGTAAATTTCTTGAATAGTTATCAAATTATAGTTTTGCTTTATTTCGGTCATTGAATTATTATTTTTCAAATATTATGAAAATGGTTTTAAAAGGGTAAAACTAGGAAATATTAATGAAAATAAAAAATAAAGAAAAGGTATCCAATTTCATGTAATTTGAAGAAAAAAAAACTAATGTAGTCCTAGTATTATTTCTCAGTGTGACCCTCTAACTCAAAACAAATTTAATGACCCATTTACTAATATTTTTTGTTGTTTGACCGTTACGGTGACGTAACAATACACAGTGCTAACGTGATAATCTACGTTATTAACGAAGTTCGTCTGTCATGTTCACATTGAACTTAATTTTTTGAGTCGGGGCATGATAGAAAATAATACGATGACCATATTGATAATTTTAAAAGTACATGGACCTTTGATGATTTTTACCAAATTATTTAGTGAATTACGTTAATTTACACAATAGTTAACAAAATGTGTACAATTTTGGACGAAATTGGGCTCAATTTTTATTTTGGGGTGTTGTCACTATTATTGATGATTTTCAGAAGAGTTATTATACCTTTCGACTAATATAAATTAAATTACAAAGAAATGAAACGATTTAAGATCAAAATAGAATTAAAACAAACATGTAGGGATGAAAGTGAATAGAACAAAAATACAAGGGACCACATAAGAAATTATCTCTTTTATCAAAATCCTGCACACGTGTTTTATCTGTGCATTTGCTCCTAATTATTAAAATATATTCATGTATTACAATAGGCTAGCTGGGAAGAGAAAATGATAGAAGGAACAGTTGCGCCTAAGATTTTGTTTGGTTCAGATGACGGTGCGTGGGATGTCTTAGGAAAGAGCACCAACATGGGTACAGCGTTGGATGCTACAGATTCATTTGGGGAATTTCCTTGCCTGCAAGTGGTAGTTGGAGTGCTCTCATGCAGTCTGCTGTGCAGAAACAAATCTAGTAACGATATAGGGTACAGGAAGAGTGGAGTGGTTGCTGTGCAGTACTTGGGGTTCAGCAATCTGGAGTCCAGAACATTTCAGACCACCGAAGCACGTCTGTATTTAATGCTCGTGGTCAGCCTTATAATAAGGCAAATGGTTGGAACTTCATTGAGTCCGCATCACTTAGTGGTGGGGCCATATCGAAAGGTCTCATAGGGATCACAAGGGTGTCACGTTTGAAGAAAGAGGTCATGGTTCTTGTCAGAGAGTTACCTAAGTTAAGAAGATTGAGTTGGATTTGTAAATATTCTATCTAGTTAGTATTCTTAAATTTAAGGGATATTTTTTATTACTAGAAATAGTCTCTTACCTAGTTTAGAAGTTAGTATTATTAAATCTAAGAGATTTTTATATCTCAGCAGAAGTATACATTGGACTTGTTGAAGGAAACTGGAAAATTAGGAAGTAAACCAGCAGAACTCCTATAGAAATCAATCACAAGCTTAAAGACTCAAAGGAGGATGATATAACAGTTGAGAGAAGCTTTTTTTCAGAGACTGGTGGGAAAGTGTATCTATTTGTCACACACCAGGCCAGACATAGCATATGCTATTGGGGTGTGAGCCAATTCATGCACAATCCCAATGAATCACACCTAAGGTTGTAGTCAAATTTTGCAGTATTGAAGGGTACACTAGGCAAAGGAATTCTATTTAGAAGAGAGGGGAACTTAACTCTGGAAGATACACGGATGCAGATTATGCATGATCCATAATTGATAGAAGGTCAACCTCAGGCTATGCACTTCCTTTGGAGGAAACTTAGTTACTTGGAGAAGTCAAAAACATAATGTGGAGATTATTTAGAAGATTTGAAGGTAAAGTGGAATGGACTAATGAAACTCTATTGTGATAACAAGTCAACAATAACATGCTCATAATCCAGTTCAATATGACAGAACAAAACATATGAAGTGGATAGACATTTCATAAAAGAGAAACTTGACAATGGCCTAATCTATCCCTATGTGACCACTGGAGATCAAGTTGAAGGCATACAAGGGTCTACCTGGTAAGTATTTTTTGAAGTTAACATGCAAGCTGAGGATGAAAGATATCCATGCTCCTAGCTTGAGGGGGAGTTTCAGAGATTAGTACCTAAGTTAAGAAGATTGAGTTGAATTTGTAAATATTCTATTAGTTAGTATCCCTAAATCTAAGGGATTCTTTTTATTACTAAAATTAGTCTATTACCTAGTTTAGAAGTTACCTAAGATAAGACTTAGGCTTGTATATATTTATAAGTTTCCTACACGCTTAATAAGAGTGAATTACAGTAAAATCATGGTTTTTGTCAGTTCTGATTGATCGTCCGGTTCATGAACAAATATCGGACTATGGAATGTGAATACTGGCTTGGGAAGCCCAAAAGAAACATGGAAGGTTCTGATCTGGTAATGTTGCGCTTTAACAGATACGAGAATGAGAAGGGTCAAAAAGGAGAGCAAACGTCAACCTTTTGATTCATCTGGAAGTAACTGCTTGGATACAGGAATGCTTGAAGCAAATATGCAGGAGAACCCCAACGTCAAGGACACTTCAAATGACAGTTTTTGTTCTAACTTGTCTCACCATACATCCACTGGTGGCATTATAGACAATGGCTGGTTAGATGCAAATGATCCACGGGCAGTAGACCAGAAGTCATCTGTTCAAGTTAATTCCCATAATTTTCAGTATCGTCCTATTGGGATCAGGATGCCGAGGTTGAACCTTATGGAACTAAAAGTCTTTCACATATGCAGCAGTAGCTCGACATGTTTCTGAATGGAAGGTCCTGACCAACGATATTTTGCGCTGTCAAATTATACTGGTCATGCTGTTGGGGAGTCTACAGGAACTGAAAAGGTTTTTTTTTTTGTCCATATATGTGAAAAGTGTGAAATTACCAACTATTTATCTATGTTCTCTTTATCCCTGTGCAATTTACTTTAATTTTAGAATAGCAAGTCTTTGGAAGACTAAGCATTCTCTGTCTCTGTATGTTAGGGTTGTTTTCCTGGCATTCAAGTAGATGAAGCGCCTTTCAAAAGCTCAAATTCTGGTTCTGCACTGACAGATCTTTGGCAATTTTGTGCCAAATAAGACAGCTTCAATGAGGTAGTTGAATAATTGTAGTTCTCAACTTTTAGCTCGACTTGAATTCATTACTTTTCTTAATTTTAATTTTTGATAAAACTTGGCTGTAAGAAACATTCATTTCAGTTGTTAAAATGATTATGGTGAAATCTTGATCATATTGATATGTGAAATCTGATATCCTTGATCATAATGCTGACTCTTCTGCATTCCTTATAATTAGTGTTGTGCTGATTTCCTTATTTACCCTTTTTGTCTTCATATTACCTCAAAATTTGGCAGTCAGAATATGCTGGAGCTCTTCTTCGAAAGGTTGATCAACTAAGGGAACCTGGTACTGCAACTACTTAAGCTCTTCTGAAACACAATCAATCATCTGAAATGCCAGATGCAGAAACTTCTGATGGATCAGTAGGCCAATTTCAGCATAATGGGCCTTCTACTTCTCAAAGTTTTTGGTTCACAGCCAGGTCCCCCATCTCAAAGGTTTACCATTCCAGACTATTCAGTTTTATCTCAAAGTTCACCACAAGGAGTTAATTCTATAAATTCAGTTCACACCTCCTGAGGTAGGAAGGAAGGGTAATGCCTTGTTGGGTCCAACGGCTTCTGTTCAGTCCTCAACTCATGGAGCATTCCAGGGAGATATCAGGAATAATATTCCAAGTGTCTCTGGTCATTCCAACAATAAAGTCCCACAACATAATATCTCGGGCAATGTTTCTGCGTTTTACCTCTGATTATCCTTATTTAGAAAGTCATCTTCAGCTCCAACATGTTACTGATGTGGGTAATCAGATAATATCGAATAAACATGTTAATGCACATTTTAGTGGGTTGGCATCTCAGTCAAGGCGGATTGATGACTCTTTTGAGAGCCCAAATTAGTCAATTGGGAGGATATCAGCCTCGCACACCTGAAACAGTACAGATAATGACCTTGCTTCAGAGAATTCCAGGCAAAGATGTAGCAGCCAAAACCATGCAAGGGATCCAGACCTGCAGTTTCCGGTGTTGGAGGCTATGTCAGCTTCCCAAACTTCTTCTATGGCTGAATCTTCACAGCAAGGTGCTTTTACCAATATGCCTAACGCATGGACCACTGTGTCAGCTGCACATCTATTAGGAGCTCAGTCTTCTCGGCCTCACAGAATTTGTTGAAGTGCCATGAACAGTCCAATAGTAACTCGGAAACAGCTCTTCCTGGAGCAAAGAAGCTAGATGATCAAATTGCTTGGACAGGAGGGATTGGACCAACTGAATACCCTGCAGGGTCTGCTAACCACAGAACTCTGTTGGAGAGAACAACCAGCCAAGTCGGCTGTTATTGCCAGATATTGATGCCAACCAAAATCCCGCAAGTGTGCAGATGGACATTGAAACTTTTGGCCATTCTGTAAGACCAATAATATTGTACATCAGAGATATTCATTGTTGCATCAGATGCAAGCCATGAAAAATAGAGATTGATCCAAGTAATAGGAGTGCCAAAAGATTTAAAGGCCCAACTCCAGCGTCTAGTTTGGGTGCTCAACAGGTATCTCAAGGTGCAGATCAGTTGCCTTATGGATCCAATGATATGGTGAAAGATGCCTTAGTGAATTGTCCTATGGTTCCTTCTGGAGATTCTAAGATGCTAAGCTTGTCACCGAATGCTGGAGATTACCACAAGACACAGTTATCCGCTAATCATACGATGTCATTTGCTCGAAACGATACCCTGCATGTCAGCAATGCTAATAATTCAGCTGTTAGTCCTAGGGGTGAACAGTTTAAAATCAGACCCCAGATGACTCCATCATGGTTTGATCGGCATGGTGCATTTAAAACTGGCATTTACGATACTTGGAAAATTGCCATGATGAAGGCCACGGACAAAGCATTCATACCATCAGACAGTTTGCATGCTCTTGATTCGAATGAGCAAGTTAATGCTGCTCAATCTAGTCAGCTGGACGATGCTCGGAAAAACTTGAACCTCTTGCTAACAGCAAGTGAACATATCTCTCGTCACTTGCTTCTCCTGGTACCAAATCAGAACCTGATTGTTGAGTGCTAAGAAGCGTAGAAGTATGACATTTGAGCTTGTGTCATTGCATAGAGAAGTGAAACAAGGTTGTCGAAGACCTCAGAACATCAGGTGATTAGATAAATATCCATTTTGCTACATTTTTATCATATATCATATGCCTCTTTGTGTGTTGTATCAATGGCCAAAAGCACTGAAAGATTTCAGTATAGCAATTTGCTAAAATTCATAAATTAGTTGCTTTCTTCTCTCACTATCTTATGCTTGTCCCTCTTTATTGGAATTATATTGATGTTTTCTGTTGATCACAGTGTGGCTGAAGCTGAATGGGCACATTCAGCAAATCGATTGATTGATAAGGTGTGTTCAGTGTCAACTGTGATTGTATGATCTTATATTATTCCTTATTTGAACTACGACAGTTCTGACTTTAGGACATTGGTCTTGTTCACAGATTGAATATTAACCTGAAATGATTGAAGATTGGTCACCAGTGCTTAGATAAAAAAGAAGGCTCTTGACTTCACAGCTTATGCAGCAACTACATTGTGCTCCTCCAAGGTCAATTCTTTCTGCAGAGGCTAGTAAAAACTATGAGACTGGTCTATTTTGTTGTCAGATTAGGCTTAGGAGAAGCATGCGGTACAGCATACTTACCTGAAAGTGATACAGCTGTTCCTTCTGAGAGTGGGAGAACGTAAGAATATGCTGATTATGTTTGTAATCCCTGAATCCTGTTTATTTCAATTGCTTATGATCAATTGCAGTTTATTTCAAAATCAAAAATCAAAATTGATTATGTTTGTAAATTCGATTAACTCGAATTCGAATTTAATTCGGAGGTGATATTAATACTAGTTAAAAATGATAAAATTTATCAACTATTTATTTTAAATATTAAACTATAAAATAACTTTTTAAAATAATTTGGGACGATTATAGAATAATATATCTTTTAAAAAGAATGACGTTTTTTTTAATTATTTAAGTTTCTTATAAAATAATTCTTAAATTTATTAAATTATAATAAAAATGATTATTAAGTTTTGTATCTGATAAACCTAATCTCACGATCATTAAAATAACCATATTCAAGTAAAGTTTTTCCTTTTCTATTTTTGTTGATATTTCACCGGCGAGATTTGTACTAGTCCCTTAAATATATCTAGAACTCCACGTAGCAGAAAGGGAGAAGAGAGTGCTGGGAGATAGAGAGATCGATATCAGATATGTCTCACAATAACAATTCAATGTCGGCAAACGACCCCAGACAACCGTCGGCGGCAAAGCCTTACGTGGCGCAGCCGGTTGCTGCACAAGATCTCCCCGTCGATTATTCCGGTTTTATCGCCGTGGTCTTCGGCATCGCAGGCGTTATGTTCAGGGTGCTTGCTCCACTCATCGATTTTTCTTCTGTTGTTGAAGTTGAATACGTCGTTTAATTGCTCTAATTTTTTGGATCTGAATTTCATATTTTTTTCTTTTGCAGTATAAGCTGAGCTCGTGGCTAGCGATCATATTCTGCGCCCAATCACTGGCGAACATGAAGAACGTCGAGAACGATCTAAAGCAGATCTCTATGGCTATGATGTTAGTTATCCTTTTCGTCTTTCGTTAATTTGTCTTTTATTATTTAAACTCCAGTTTCATCCGAAATATAAGCTTTAAAAATTATAGTGATATTATGTTATTATTATTATTATTATTATTATTTTCTGGGGGAAAGGGGTTAGATTACGGTCTCTAATTAGGAATTCTATTGGATCCGACAGTTATTGGATTGTAAGTGTAATTCTTTTTGGAGGCTTTATTTCCACTGAATATATAACCGATAAATCTGACTTTAGTTATTTCTACCTTTAGATTTGCTGAATGTTCATATGGTTGAATTAGACCATCCTTGAATTGCTACTGTTTGTTGACTTCAACGAGCATTGTTTGAAGCATAAAATTTTCGTTATTGAAGTCTGAGGTGATGGTGCAAGACTTTCCATTAAGAAAAGAATGCTGGGTAACTAAGTGAGCTAGGGTGCCGGATCAAGGGTTGTGCTCGGTGCTATTCCAAAGCATTTCTGAGAAAAGGTGTTATGTCTAGAAAGCTAAAGAGCACGGTTTCCATTCGGATCTATGCCAATATCTGCAAAACGCAGATATTCCTTGTACTCGGTTCTTGTTATTGGATGAGTTGTTTTCAATCTGGACTTCCTTAAAGTAATGCTGCATTATTTTATTTGCGGTCTGGTTCACTTAGTTGAGAATATCACTTTTGATCTATGCCAATTCCTTAAAACACTGGCATTCCTTCCCCTCAGTTCTTGTTCTTGGAATGTTTGCTTTCAATATGAACTACATTATTTTATTTGGGGTCAGGTTTACTTTGTTCAGCAGATCACTTGAACTGCACTGGTTTTGGTGTTGGTCTCTTTGAACTATGAAAGACACCCTTATTCAGTAACCCGCTCCCTTATTTGGTGTTTAGTCTGATGTTTTTATGGAAAAAAACAGTTTTCCTTCTATGGTATCCTTCTCTTGATACCTTATTTCTACTAACTAGCTCAGAGGTCATTTTAGAAATTTTTGGCTTGGTGGTAATCTCAGTTATCTTCACCTTTTTATTATTATTTGTGGAGATATATTTTGTTAATTATGTTTCTAATTCTAGGTAGTGTTTATATTGCTTTCGCTGTTTTGTATGGAATATTTTTACTACCTCACTTTGATTCATACGAGGGTTCAACCATATTGTGTATTTGTTACTCATTTGATTTTGTCTTGAAATCAGGTTTGCTATCATGGGATTAGTTACAAACTATTTCGGACCAGCTCGACCAGGAACACAGAGTTAAAGATAAACCATGTAGTTAAGTTTGCGAATTTCTTTTTTCTCGTTCATATCAGATCATGATGTTGAGATAAGTGGTGATCTTGTTAAAGTTCAATTGTGTTGGATAATTATTCTAGATGACTATGACAAACTAGTTTATATTTATGGTACTGATAATTTTGTTATATGTTGCTCTCTCTTTATTTTTCTTGAAGTTCTCGTATGTGGCACTTGTTTATGATATATGGATATGGGATATGATTTTCATTAACCTTGCAAATATGTCGAATAATCCGACACTCTAGTTCATATCGCGGCCTGCGCAACGTTTTTCTTCGTCGGATTGAGATAATCCAACCCCCTGACAATCATGAACCAAAGTGCCTAGCGAGTTATCAGAATCAAAAGGACGGTTGAGCATCTGAATGCATCGAATTCAATGATCGATTGAGGCAGTACCATTTCTTTAGCCAAATGCTGACCTTCATCCACTCCCCAATCTCTCTATAGGTCACTAGCCGTCGCAATCAGCCAATCTGACAAGGTCTTCTAGCCAGTCAGGTACATCCGACCGAGACTCTCTGTTCGTTGATTGCAAAAGATTCGGCATATGCTATTGTCTGATCAGGATGTGTTGGCACGCCATGGATCAGTGTTTCAGTTCTCCCAAAGCCCCCAATGACAAATAAAATTCTCCTGCACAGGAAGCAGTAGCCATATTAAAAATCGAATACAATACAAGAATATGATAAAATTATTAACTATTTCAACCACAAACCTTAAATTTTAAATTATTATTTAATTAAATAATATTTAAATTAAATTATAAAAATTATATAAATATTTCCTAACAATAAAATAATTTTTAGATAATTTGGACAAAGGAAATACTTTTCCTATTTTTTATTATTATTTAGACCTGGTTTGATTTGGTGGTCTTGATATAATTAAATTTAAATGAAAATGATTTTTTTTATGATAACCCGTAATTTACAGAATCTTTGAACTGATCCTGCCGAACAAGTAGAAGTGCCATCGAGTATAAAGTTCCATGTCTACATGATAATCTTGAAGGTATATGTACTGAAAATACCGCCATGAAAAGGCCATTCGCATCTCAGTCCATTGTAAAAGACAATATTTACCTGATACATATTTGAATACGAATACGAAAATACGATCCTTTAAATATACGAAAAAACTTTACTACTCCATGTCCTTGTTGTGCCATTCCCTGCACAAGGCCATATATCACCATTAATGAAACTGTCGATCAAAATCGCTGCCCATGGATTTAAGGTAACATTATTCAACGCGGAGGTTGAACTTGGGAATTTTAGGGAATCGCTGCCCCCCGACGGAGTGGGCGAAGTTGTTTGATTTGATGTTCTCAAGACTTTTGAGGCGATCGAGAAGATACAGAGGATCATACCAGATTATGTGGCGGACTTGATTGCGGAAATTAACCGGTCAGGTGTCGAAGAGAAGATCAGTTGTGTTTGTTGATCAGTTGGAGGGCACTTGAAGTGGCCAAGAAGATGGGACTTGAAGCAGTGGCAATGTGGCCTGCTGGTGCTCCATGCTTGGCCTTGGCAGCTCACGTTCCTATACTTCTTCAAGATAAAATTATAAACAGTGATGGTATGATGGGTTCACATACATACATAAATGAACATTGCTAGCTTGACCTAATGGTAAAGCTTGAACTTCTAGGAATTATAATGAAAGATGAGCTGATCATACTATCAGAGGATGTCCCTGCCTGTGCCTGGAGCAGCTCAGATATTGGATGGAGGAGCAGTCATCCAATTACAAGCAAAGCTTTACTTGGATTTTATTCAATTGTTCCTTAGTATGCAGAATTTTATGATCTCATACTCTGCAACTCAGTTTATGAACAAGATTCACCACTCTTCAAATCGATTCCCAAAGCCTTGCCCATTGGTCCATTGCTTTTCACCAACCATTCGGGATCTTTCGCCGGAAAAACTTGGCCTAAAGACTAGCCATGCTCGGCTTGGCTCGATGAACAACCAGTGGGTTCAGTCATTTACGGGTTGTTGGACCAAACTTCACGGATGGATCGACTGCGAAATTCCCAGACGGATTCCGTGATCGAGTATCCGATTGGGCGAGAATCGTCGAATGGGTGCCGCAGGAGATGGTGTTAGCTCACTCTTCGGTTTCGTGTTTCCTAAGCCATTGCGGATGGAATTCGAACATGGAAGGCCTGACCATGGGGGTACCTTTCCTACGTTGGCCATACATAGCTGATCAGTTCAGTAACAAGAAGTACGTATGTGAAGACTGGTTTGGAGTTGAACAAAGATGAGAATGGAATTACAAGCAGGCCTGAAATAAGTTCAAAGATAAACACATTGATCTCATCTGATGTAATAAAAGCAAAAGCATTACATGTAATGGACATTGTTAGAAAGAGTTCCAGTGAAGGTGGTTCTTCTTTCAAGAATCTTTTTAGCTTTATTGAACATATTGAGAGCCTTTAGGCCCTCAATACCCATAAGTACATTTCTGTTTAAAATTTATGTTCAATATATACACATGTTTATTTTAAACACTGTTTTCCCAAGGATGGGGGCCTCATTCATGAACAAAAAGGTACGCTTTTCCTAGATATGAATTCCTTTTCTTGAAAAGGATTTTAGATTAGGAGGAAAATTGCACCCTATTTATTTGCAAGATGTGAGATTTTTGTTTTGTACAGAAGAGGTCCTAATCTGAGATAGAAGAGTTCATATATGTTCAGATTTGAACCCGACACATATTGAATGCCAAGAGTTCATATATGTTCAGATTGATTATATATCTTTCAACTATATTATTTGCACAATACAATATATATATGAGATCAGAGTCTAAGATAAGAGAGGATTACAGGTAAAGGAATTCAAACTTGAGATCTGCTGAATCAGCCGAGTTCAACTGTCTTTTAGAATATGATATTTAACTGAAGTCGATTATGCATCTCTCAAGTCTTTCCTCAGCTTAATATTACTCCTAAGCAGCCTTTGTTTGATCTTGTTCCAAAGTTTAGCAGCAAATCCTCCGGCGACTTTCTTTGTTCTCATGTTGCTTGCTGCATTTCTGTTAATGGCTGCGCACGTTAAGTGTGAACATAAAACTTTCTTTTTATCTTCTCTGCTGAAACATTGAGAATATAAGGGAGATTTTAGGTAGCACAAGTAAGCCGGCGATGAGCAGCTAAGTCGTTGCAGTTGCATCGCCTTGTTCAGCTGGTATGACACAGCCTGGAGCTCATACGAGTCGTACAGGGTGCTGCCATTTTTCCGGGGGCTTAGCCTTGCGATAGGGTCCAGAGTTTGGATGTGGTCGTAAGTCGGAGATGCGTATGTTAGCTGCATCTCCTTCGGAATTTCTGGATGGGAGGCCGGATGCTTTCCTTGGACGTTTCTCTCATCGGTAAACAAATGTCTTGAGTTCTTCTCCTTAAATGGTAGGTTTTCAGGCTTTGAATGCATTGAAATCAAGCAAGGTAAGTTGAGTGCCATGATGAACAAGAAATTTTATTTGTTTTCTACGTTTTAGCATGTTCTGCCGTGGGTTGTGGACAGTAGTAAAAATGGTTTAAATATGTGTATATATATAAGAAGATAGAATCTCATTGTATTTTGTAAAACTTCGATTTTATATGGACTTTTAAGATCAATATATAAAGGATTAAATATACAAAAGGTGTCCAATGTAAGTCTTTGCTTTCAGTTTAATGTCTAATGTTTATTTCATTCCAGTTTGGTGTCTAACATTTTATTATGTTACTTATTTAGGTGTTCGGACAGTTAATAGCGTTAATTTTTACATTAAGTGACACGTTTCACAACCTGGTAATTTTAAAAAATTTATTTAAAATTAAAAAATTATATATATATATATATATAAAGAAAACACAAATTTTGAAATAAACTCAAAACTTTGAAAACTTTCATTTCAACCCTTAAACCCACACTGGCTATCAGCTTTTGCCATCGACGAAGCTCTTCCCTCCCCTCGACGACCAAAACCCCATGAAATCGTGATCGATCGACAATCGATCGATGAAGAATCAACGTTTTATACCCCGTAAACCCTAGGATGAAAATCGTGATCCCACACGATTCTGATGGTCGATCGATCGTCGATCTTTCACGATTTCATGGGGGTTTTGGTCGTCGAGGGGAGGGGAGGTCGAGTGGAGCTTCGTCGACGGCAAAAGTCGATGGATGGTGTGGATTTAGGGGTTGAAATGAAGGATTTTAAGGTTTTGGGTTTATTTCAAAATTTATGTTATATATATATATATATAGTCTTAATTTTTTTAATTTTTAAATAAATTTTTTAAAAATATCAGGTTCTGACACGTATCACTTAACGGCTAGACTTAACGATACGTCACGATTTGACCTAATCTGAGTTACAGAATGAAATGTTAAACATTAAATTTAAACGAAATAAACGTTAGAAACTAAATTGGATCTAAAAGTATACATTGGATACCTTTTGTATATTTAAGCCTTACATAAATTTATATGAATGATTGAAATTGCCTTACAAAATGCCCTAAATTGATTTTATTTTGCGTAAAAATCTATGATTTGAATGTAGACACAGCTTTGACTTTGACCCCAAAAGGACATTAATTTATTATTTTTTATTGTTAAATTTAAAGAAATGTAAAATGATAGTAAGTTTATCAAATTTTTACATTTATTATAATATATATAACGATTATTTAGAATAATTTGATAAATTTACTGTTTATTTTATAATTTCCACAATTTTAGTGTCTAGTCCCCTTGAAAGTCTGTACTTTTTAATGTCCCTTTGTTGCTTTTATAAGCATTAGCTGCATAATATAAGTTGGATTTCATGCCTCAAAAAATAAATAAGGCATGAAAAAAAACATAACAGCTGCATGTGAACAAGTGTAATTCTTTAAACTATTAATTTCTGTTATGATTTATTAAATTCGATCGATCAATCGAAATATGTCAAGAGGAGATAAATTGGCTTTTTGAAAATTTAGAAGTAAGGAGAGAAAAAAATAGACAATTTGCATAATGATTTATAGTGGTTCAACTTTCTTAATGAAATCTATGTCCACTAGCTAAGCTCTTCCCTTAGGATTTTTCAACAAATCTACTAATTTGTTTTTTCTTTTTCAAGAATCAAGAGTAACCTTTACGACTCCCTAGTTTTTCACTTGGCTAAACTAGAACCAAAAACCCCTTTACAAAGGAAAAGAATTGTAAACAATAAAATTTCTAAAAAGGAAGATGTTTACAAATTAAAGCTCACAAAAACACAAATATTTACTATAGAAATAGAAATAAAGAATGAAAAGTTTTTCTCTTGTATTTGATTGCTTTGATGGACGTTGGTAACCTTCTTCAAGTGTTTTGAACTTGTTTTTATAAGTTAGAATGAGTTACTAGCCGTTTGGAAAGGTTTGGAGCCATTGGTAAACTTTCTACACACAAAGTTTTGAAACTCTGGGAAAAATTTCGAAACTCTTCGAAAGAGCGTTGAAAAAATTTGATCGTTGGAGCCAAAGCATCAAAACTTTAAGGAAAATTTTGAAACTCTTGAAAAGTATCAAAACGTTTTGGAAAACTGTCTTGGAAAGTTTCGAAACTCTTGTAGAAGTTTCGAAACCTCTTGTCAAAATACTTATTTTAAGATTTTAATTGGATTTTGAATTATTTTGATGAAAACTTTAAATAAATTCAATTTAGTTCAAAAACATTTTGCCCTTATTTGTTATATCAAAATATTAGTTCTTCAATCTCCCGTTTTTGGTATAAAAAAACATTTGAAAAATAGATTTTAACAAAAAGCTCCCCTTAATAAAACATTTAATGGAAAAGAGTAATATTTGAAAAATATTACAGCTCTCCTTTTTTCATTCTTGAAATTGAATTTTTCAAACTCATATTTCTCCCCTTTTTGTTATATAAAAAATAATTTAAACTTTAAGATACAAAATAACAATGGAGAGTAAGTAGAAATTTTAACATTAAAATCATATGAAAAATCAAAAGCTCTCACTTAACAAATGCAACCAAAAAACAATTGATCTAAAAAAAACTTAGACACTTCAAAGAATATTGAATTTCAACAAAGATGAACAAACTAGTAGCACATGAAATTTAATATATCCAAGTCTAATATACTTTATGCATGTGCATGTGCATGTGCATAAAGCTATCAAAAAATGTTATGCATTTGAAAAAAAATCGATATCAATTGTTAGGGAGATATCATTTGCAATGAGTCACATGCATAAACATTTAAATTAAGGTCAAAAATTAAAATTTGTAAAAATAAAGCATTAAAATCAATTTTGACCAAAATTCATTATGATGAACAAACATTTATAAAAAATCATTAAAACTTTATAAAATGTTCATCACAACACTTTTTAACATACATGAGATAGAAAATCAACAAAAATCATTTAATTCCAAAACTCATTCATGCATACAACAAATAGACAACCAATTTATCAAAACAAAAACATTAAGCTTAGAGGTTACCCATTCCTTTTCAAGTGTGGCTAAAGTATTTGAATATCTTTACTTTCATCACCATTGCTCTCACACACCTACAAGAAACATTTATGTGGATTTTGGTATCCAAATTGCTTTAGATCCTTGAACATTAGTTTCAATGTCCATTGTTCCTTTAGGAACCCATATTTGTCTAATTTTAAAATGTTTTTCTTTCTTTAAAGGACAAGCATGTTCCAAATGACTATTAAAATGGCAATGTGAGCATTTTGTCATTTTTAAACATAATGAGTCGTGTTAAAAATTAATTCTTTTTCTTTTGTTAAGCTTTCAAGCTTAACTTTCAAATCAAGATTTTCTTTTTCTAAATCATTGATTTTGATTTTTGAAAGGTCTAAATCATTTTTCAAAATTTCATTTTATTTTTCTAAATCAACTTTTGCTTTCAAAATCAAATTATTTTTAACTTTAAATTTTGAAACTAATTTCTTATATTTAGAATTCATGGTCTCAAATTCTAAATAGAACTCATCATAGGCATCTTATAACTCTTTAAATTAATAAGAATTTGAATCAAAAGAGTTAGAAGTTACCATTGAATCTTCTTGAATGGCCATGAGACAGAGGTTGGCTACTTCATCACTCCAAGCCGCCATAAATGCCTTCTTTTTGTTTGATCCCTTCTTCTTTAAGAGAGAACATTCATACTTGACATGTCTCGTCCTTTGGCACTCAAAGCATACCAAGGGACCTTTCTTCTTGCTCGATTCATGCTTCTTATCTTTTTTGGATGTCAAGAATCGTTGGA